TCGATCAAAAGACAAATGAAAGTGACTTCAACGAGCTGCTCGTTACTGTACCACTCGACCTGGGCGTTGCCCTAGTTCCTCCAGAATTACGCTTTGCAAAGTAACTCAAATGCTACAAACTTGATACAAATATATAAATTACGAAGCACATAACGTGTTAAATGATAATATTCATCGAAAATCTTTATTCCTTTATTGAATTTTCTTAAGATTCTTATGTTAAGGTTATTACGAAGACTTCAATTATCCGTATGAGTAAGTTGGTATGTGAGCTTCCATACAAGTTTTACACAAGACGAAAAGAAATTGAACTATTTATTCCACAAGATAACTTCCTCTGGGCTAGAACTAACCATGTCTATGATTGATTGCTCACTCCAGGACAAATAATCGTCCCCAAAGGCTGTATAAGGAATCGATGTACGTTATTCTTAAAGTCTTTATAGATACATTTTACAACATCCTCCCCATTTCTAAAAATTCTATAAATAAACTTAATGTAATAAATATCTTTTTTATATAAAAATATGATAATAAATTTTTAATTCTTTCAAAAAAAAAAATTTTGAAAATTGTTTTCCACGATTTACATTCTAATTTTAGTATTTTATCAGCGATGAAAATCTAAACACATCCACGTTGGCGAATAACGTTATAGATTACAACGTATATGAAGTTTTCAGATAATATTGTAACTAGCTGATTAAGTGTTGTAAATTTAGATAGTAATCGTTATTAACATTTAAAACTAATCATTAAGTCTAATTTAACAAATTGGTAAATATAATTATATAAACAAAGCAAAAATAACAGTTAGTCTCGTTCACGCTTTTCAATCTGTAGTTCGCGATTCCCGTTTGTATAATAACGCTCACTCCGAGGGGTTTCTTATTAAAAAAATGGTTAACAAACACCAATTAAACAATACAAGAACGTGTCTTGTTATTTAAAATGTCTGAAAATTTAAATTTTAATAAAATTATGAGGAATATTTTTCCGTTTTTTTTTTTTTAAATTAGGAGTATTAAGTGGTTACACTGTCCATTCTTATCCTCTAAGGATTACCTTTATTTGCCAATCAGCAGCTGTAATCCATTGACTCACCTGACACAATGACGAAATAAATAGACGTAAGCCTATTAGACAACAATTCGAATAAGGATAGCATTGTGAAGGAAAATCCTATTTGTCGACTTCTGTTTACTTTCAAAATACTTTATCCATTTATAGGAACGAAGTTTTAATCAATTAATGCCTATTTTCTTTAAAAAATGACGAAAAATGATTAACAAAATGTCAGGAATTTCTGTTTAAGTCTTAGTTAAACTTATTGAATGAATAAATTAGTTGGAAAGTGATAACAAAACTCTAATCGTTTTCTATAATTTATAGCTTAACTGGTAGTTAAATAATCACAAAATTAATAGTTAAAAAGCTATTAGAAAAGTAAAGAAGTTAATCAACAGTTTAAATTAATTTTCGAGGAATTTACAACAACATCCAATTAAAAATAAATTACAGAAAAAAAGCAGAAACATGCGAAATTATTTTTGTAAATAGTAAGGAATTTTGCCTATTATTTACAGGAGAAAAAAACAACAAAAACATTGACTTTCAGATGGCGAAATATTCAAAAAAACAAAACAAAATAAAATTTCTATAAATATAAATACACATTAATCAAATTCCGAAGTGTACATTTATAAGGAATTCAAAAAAAACAAAACATGAATATATATGAGTTATTAAATAAAGTAATTTATTAAATCAGAATGAAAGTGAACGAAAATAGGATTTGAATTTTGAAAAATAAAATGATGTTAAATTAGTTGCAGAGAGTACATCACTATCTAACAAAGAGATCCAAATTGAAAATAAAACACTCAATTTTTTTGTGATGCTGTTCGATGTATTACTGCATCAATCCCTCTTTTTTTTTAAACATTCGATATCAATCAGGACAGAAAGAAAAAGAAAAAAATAGCTAACACGACTTTTTGTTTGAACTTGTCACGCCGACTCGTATCATCCAAACTGGCGAAAGTAAGTCTAGTCTCTATTTCCGGAAGTTGTTATTTTTTATCCTCCACCCCCGGGGGAACTAAATGTTGAAACTTTCCTGCCAGACTATGACGAATGAGAGTTTAGGGAGTTTTGGACTGCTGACTTTTTTCAGTTTCATTTTCGTTCTCGCGACAGAAAGCATTCCTAACTGACATCCATTGGGCCAGTTCTTCCTTCTCGTAGCGGATAATTGCCGAAATTTAGCGATAGACAATCTACTGTAACTTGTATACGTCATCCATCATCAGTCTGAAAGAAAAAGAAACACCTTCTCTCCAACTGGCTTCATCTATATATATATATATAGAGAGAGAGAGAGAAAGAGTGAATTTTATATAAAAAAGAAAATCCTATAAAAATCGTGAAGAAAAATATTTCAAATATTTATAAAATTAATTTGTAAACATTTAAAAATATTTTAAATGCCATATTATTAAATATTTTAAACGCATTCCGAATAGGTAGTAGTAATTCGCATTAGCGATAGAGAAGTGTAGTGCTGCATGCATAACTTCTTTGCAAGGAAAGAAATAACGACTTCGATTACTTTCCACTAAACTCATTAATATTATAGTACGAAAAACGATAGGTTTAATATAGCAAAAGTGTATATATATATAGTACAGTAGTTTTTGTTTACGTAGAAGAATCAAAGTATCAGCTTTATCGCTTCCGGTAAGTTAAGAAACCTGTTAAATTCTTCGCTGACTTGGCATATACTATGTGTGAAAACTGTTAAAGGATAGTTAAACCTGTCAGTGATTTTTTCAACGGATGTTTATAACATTTTTAATACATAAATATATATATATATATACCAGATATTGGCTTGGCTGACGTGTTTATATATATTTTCACGAATTGCACAGTGAAATTTATAAATATATATGTATATAAATATATATATAAATATTCGTTTTAAAATACACTAAAATATATTATATATATAAAATATATTTTAATGTAGTGTATATATATATTAAGTTTATTAAATATAAAATTATTATATTAAGAAAAAAATTTCTTATCAGAAATCCATAAGATAAAATAGATCAAGGATGAGGGAGAGATTTAAGCAGAAGAATGGCTCAAGGAGGAAAAACAAGCAGCAGAGGAAGAGAATAATGCAAAAAATTTATAATAATTTTTGCAATAATTATTCATTTATTTATTATATTAAACAGAAATTATCATTTAATTTAATAAATTAGTGTTTATTTTTATACTTTACATAAAATAAAATAAACAATTTTTTAAATTTAACTTATATTTTGAAGATGCTATTTAATATTTATGACTCAATTTACTATGCACGTACATTGCAATTTTTTGTTGTTTGAATAGAAAAAAAACTATTTTTTATTATTTAATGCACTTTAATGTTTGATTAAATTTTTATAAATAAAAAAACCTACAAAATTAACCGTAATAAAAGTATTTATATTTTATTAAAATTTCAGGGATAAAGGTAAAAAATTTATTAGAAAAATCCGCGAAGAAATTAAACGTTTAATATTCCATCCCGAAGATAAATTACTGTATAAATTTTTGAGTAAAATTTTGCTTAAAATTGCGGAAATTCGTCCAAATACTTAAGACAATTTCAACGTTATAAACGGAAAAATATTGCTTTCGATTCATTAAATCAACATCTAAATATATTTAAAACATGTTCCAAAATGTATAAAAAATAAGCATTTAATATTTATCCACAAAGATAAATAACTGTATAAAATATTTGTAATAAACTTCTCTTATGATGGCAAAAAATCATCTAAATTACAAGGTTATAAACGAAAAAAACATTTGATTTAACGAACTGAAAGCGTATATTACATCTATAAAATATAGTAAAAATTATAAATTGAAACAAAAAAAATCTATAATAAACGAGTATTTGTTATTCCATCAAAAAGATAAATTACTGTATAAATTTTTGAATCAAATTCGGCTTCAATTTTGAAAACTCGTACAAAGAATTCAGTCAATTGCATCTTTATAAACGGGAAAATAACGCTTTTTAATTCGTTAAATTAATATCTAAATATAAGACAGAAAAAAAATGTATAATAAACGAGTATTTAATATTCCATTACGAAGACAAATTTTCTGCAATTTTGAATATTTTTACTTAAAACCATGAAAATTTAGCCAAAGAGTTAAATCAATTGCTGATAATAAACAAGAAAGAATATTTTTCTTACGTTAAATTAGTTAATAAATATACAAAATACGCTAGAAATTATATACTAAAGTATTTTTAAAAAATCTATTCAAAAAAGCGAGTACTTAATATCCCGTCGCCAATACAAATAACCGAATAAATTTTTGCTTAAAATCGTTAAAATTTAGCGAAAGATTTAAGTCAATTGCGGCATTATAAATGGGAAAATATCGCTTTCAGTTGGTTAAATTAGATGTTAAATTACATAAAATACACTAGAAATTATAAGAGAGAAAAAATCTATAAGAACGTGTACTTAATATTCTATCACAAATATAAATTACAACACACGATTTCCGATTAAAATCGTGAAAAATTGCAAGCGAGTTAAGTCGATTGCGGATTATAAACGAGAACGAACATTTTCGAATAGATTTAAATTAGTATCCAAATACAAAAATTAAAGTAAAAAAAAATAAAAAATTCGTAAAAAATAATCGGTAAGAAACGCGTACTTAAAGGTATATTGCTGTGGGTGGGGTTCATAAATCGGTTATAACTGAGCTACCGTTGCGTGGGACCTCATTTACTTTACACGAAATAAGAAAACTTACTACACTTACCTGAATATCCAAACAAGGATAAATTCTTCTTAATTAAAATCATAATATTCGCACAGATTTTTTAAAATATAAAATATCTATAATTCTAGCAAAAAATATATTTATATATCTAAAAACAATTTTTTTTCTATAATAAATATCCCACTTACCGTACACCTCCACGGTGGTTTCTTTGCGATATACTAATTGAGTCTCGCTCCGAGAGTGGGCGTTGCAATCGTAACTCCCATCATGCTCCACAGTGGGACATGATAAATATAGTTTCCATATACCTTCGGTCGGGTTTGGTTCTATAGCAACATTTGGTAATTTGGTAGCATTCTCTCCTTTGAAAGTCCACCACACGTCTACTTCGACATCCTCTTCGATATCTAACTGGCAAGTCAACGTCACTGGTGTACAGTTGGCCGCTACTGGCGGATTGGCGCTGTGTTCGGTAATGGTTATGCTTGCTGCAGAGAGAAGAGAGTGAGTCCTTTAGGAATTGTGTCCGAGGTTATCTCAATCGGTTTAGTAAAGGTCAGAGGTCAGGCTGGTCGAAAAATTATACATTCATATAACCAGCTAAATGTATAATTTTTTTAAATATATATTTATTTAAAATTTTTTTAAATGCGCGTTTTAATGGTTTGCGCCATTCAATACTTTCTACGTGGGGCAAAAGTGCATTTGCTGACCTTTGACACGAATAAATGTGTATAAAATTTAATATTTAATATTATAAAATATATATCTTAAAAATTACCGCTCGATATTTTCTTTAAAAAAAACTTCTTGTTAATTGTTGTGCTTAAGAAATGTATCTTTCATTTAAAAAATTCAATAAAAATCTAAGAAATATTTTATAAATTTATTCTTAATTATATTTTTAAAAAGAAATAAGTTAAGAAAATCAATATTTAAAGAGAATTCTAGTGCAAAATTGTACATAGAAAGTGAAAAAATAAAACGATTTAAACTGCATATCCTTTAGTTTCATTAAGAATAAAAATGCTTTAAATAATGTAATTTAAAAATAGCTTAATAAAAAGTTATACAATTTATTTATTTATTATTTTTTGCATAAATTTTTATAGAAAGAAGAAAAAATTAATTAAAATTCTTCTTCTAAATATTATAAAAGTGAATTTTCATTCCTTACTTTATAACAACAACAATAAAAAATATTTTGAGGCCGTGTGGGAAACATTAATAAATTTATTGATATAAAAGATTTAAATAAAGACATACAGTAAAAAATATTTTATTTTAAACTAAAAATTCTGCCAAATCTATATGTTCTATATATAAATAGGCTTATATAGGCTATATTTTTCAATTTCTGTAAAAGTTTGTATTTTAGTTAAAACTTTTGTAAAAAGAAAAGAAAAAAATACATATATATAAACAAAGAATTCCTCTGGTATATAATATTAAAATTAAAAACATTTAAGAAATAATTTAATATTTTATATAATAAAATTTTTAAAAAATTTTAAATATCTTACTCTTTACGCTAAGTTTCTAGAATTATAATTATTCTTTACATTAAATTATAAAATCATGCTTTATTCCTTATGCTAATTTCATAAAGTTATAAGCATTTTTTATCCTTTATTCTTCATATTAAAAACGATAAAATTATAATTATTCCTTTTGCTAAATTCTCAAAATTATACCCATTCTTTACACTAAATTAATAAAGTTTTATCAATTCTTTATGCTTAATTAATTAATTAATTGTGCTTAAAACGAAAGTTTTTTAATTTAAGTTTTTATTTTTATTTTTTAAGTGTTCACTTTCGATATGTTACATTCTTCAGAAGTTGATCGCCAGAGGGAGTACTGTAAAAGCACAGATTTTCTGCGTTGCAGTCAGCTGTAATCAATAGCTATCCCCCCTCTCCGCAAATCCTTTCTACTACCGTTTCTATAGCAACTCGTACCGAGACGGATTTTCTTAATCACGTGATAGAAATGAACGAATCCAAGGCATTAAAAAATGTGACATTTTTATTTCATTTTTCAAATTTACGCCACGTGTATTCCCTCCCCCCTAAAAGAAGGAAAATTTATATATAAATATATAAATTATTGAAAAAAATGTAAAATTTCTTTTCTAAATTCATATTTTTTCATTTCAATTTTACTTGAAATCCTTTATTATATCAATACTTTATCAAAAAAATAGACGTAAAGTTAGAAAGTGCCAAGTAAGTACATACGTGGATAGAGAGAAATATAAGCGTTGATATATATTTTTTTATTTGCCTGTACATTGAAATTACAAATTTTTCAATCACAGTTCCTTTTGTAGTGGTAGCAGAGTCACAATATAAGAATTTCCGTTATGCTAAAAGGGCGGAGCTCGGTTGCAGTAAACCTCAATTTTGTGACAAAATGATATTCCGGGAAATCGCATCTATTTTTTAGACACGATTCCGAAGGAAAATCAATTGGAAGCTTCACTCAAATAATAAAAAAAAAAATTAAAAAATATAAGAAAAATTTAATTTTTTCTTCCACTTTCTTTTTTAATTTCAAAGTTTCACTTTTTAAATAATTCAATGTTAACTTGTTTTCAATTATTATCACAAAGAATAATTTCTAAAGGAAGAGAACATAATATAAATGTCACTAACGGAGTCATTATTTTTCTTATATAAATTTTTTTTAAATTTATATATGAAAATATAATTTAATATTTTTACTTTTCAATCCATAACAATTAAATAATTAATTAATATCCATTTTGACATTGAAAATTTCATAATATTTTAACTACAACAGCTCTAGCTTACGTAAAAAGTTGTAGTTTTTTAGCCTTTTGAGAACTTCAAATTTTAATTTCAGTTCTTCTAAACTAATTTTTTATTTTTTAATTTATAAAAATAAAATAATAAGCTGGAGGGGTATGATTTTTATACAGATGCTTTCAAATTTGAATTGTTATGAAATTTTCAGTATCATAAAAAGTCTATTTATAATTATAAATGTGTAATAAAATATTTAATTTTTACGAATAATAAGTGAAAATTAAAAATTATATTTTATACGCGAATTATTTCATTTCTAAGAAAAACAACGACTAATTTATTGACAGTCTTCATGATAATGATAAATGTAAACAGATTAAACAAAAGTTGAATTGTTTAGAAAGGAAACTTTGACATATAAGATTCATACACATAATTGTATTTACTAACAAGACTAAAGTTTTAAGTGGCTTGATTTATCTTATTATATTAAGTAAATATGATTAAAATAGGAAATTGCTAATGCTATTTTTTTATTAATTTTTTTACATAAAATTTTATTTTTTTTAAAATCAAAATTAAACTCGAAATATTTCGACATAATAGTAAAGAAAAGTATTTCACATCTACTAGTATCTTCGTTGATCTCACTGATCCAAATATCTATAATATCGAGTGACAGATTGTAGACAGTTTAAACCCTTTAACAAAATGGCTAACTAGAATCAGTTGTATATAACTGTCAGTATATAGTATTTTATTTTGAATTTAATAAATTTAATATATATTATTTTTATTTGAATTTAAAAAATACAAAAAAATAATAATAATACAGTAATGTAGTTCTTTATGCTAATTATATTCAATACATTATAACTGATGAATCTTTGTGTATGAGAAAAAAGGATGTTTGAAGCAGTTCTTAGCCTTTAGAAGACTAATTACTTTCAATTTAAAATTCCTTTTTAACTAAATTCTTTAACAATGCAGGTTGATCTTTTATCTCTCTTTCTCTCTCGTCCAGTTTTTTTTTTCTCTATACATTTGTTTTCTTTCATTCAACAAGAGTTAAAAATTTAAACAGGTATGCAAAGTTCCCAACCAGTAAGCTAAAGTTTGTATAAAAGAACTAATTAATTTATAACGTTTTAGAAACAACTAGTACATTCTGTAAAGTTTACTTTCAACAAGCAAACTAAGATTTGAACTGCGTAAATTTCAAATCATTGATTCTCTCTCTATATATATATAAATTTTTGTATTCTTGGTATTTTTATATTAGAAAAATTTTGAAAAGGAAATTGAAAATGATTTCTTTTCAATCCTATCGTATTTCCATGTCAAGCTTAGTTAAGAAGTTTACTAGACTTGGTATAAATAAGTCTGTATTATTTTATGCTCCGTTGAATTTTAGTTTCGAAATGTTATTTTTCTTTACGAAATATTAGTAAAGGAACTTTGTTATTCTCTTTAAAAAAAAGGGAAAAAGGAAAGGAAGAAAAAACATTTGCATAAAATAAGTGTAAGTAGAAATATTATTAAAAGTTTTGAAATATCTTTGACATTTATCTCAGTCTAGTAATGTATTGAAGAAGCGAAGAAGCGGAAAATAAATTATCTTTATGTGATCACTATGTATCTTTCTACGTATAATTTTATAATAATTCACTCCATATTTTCAAATTTGTGCACTGGAGATAATAATTTCAAATCATTTCTACCTGGTTAATTAAAGTAGAAAACATGTCAGCCTACTGAAAATAATATTAATGCTAGAAATACTTTGATAATTTTAATAAGAATAGATGTTGAAAACTTCAAATTAACTCGAAAATATTCAATATCTATAAACAATATTTTATTTAAAAATTTAATATTAACTGTAAAAGATTATCCTAACAATAATTTTACATTTGAATAATAGGAAATGGATATTTTATATAAACAGAATTAAAAAATATATATAATTATTTTAAAATTGTGCAGAAAGTTATATTTTATCATAAATTTAAATATATATTTATTGTATTGTTTTAAAGAGATTTTAATGCTAAAATCTTAAAATACTTGCATTTAAGTCCTAGAAGTTAATTGTAATCAGAATAGAGTTTAATTTGTTTCTGTCTCTTTGTAAAGAGAAAGGGCCACTTATACAATATACAAGAGATCCTTCTCTCCACATAGTGTGGA